GAACCCCGGGCGCCGGGGCAGCGGGGACGGGGGCTGGCCGGACGGGGGTCGCTGCGGGGGAGCGGGCTGGTTTGCTCCCGGCTTTAAAGCTGCCACTTTTGAGCACAAGGTCACTCTTCCTTACTTAGGCCCTGAAGCTGTATGGAGGGCAAGACGACTGTCTTGGGAGTGAAAAGCCTGTTGAGCCTCAGCTCGGGGCTCAGGGAGAGACAGGAAGGGCTGCGCCGATACTACACCAAATCAAGGGAGAGAAAGTTCACTAGGTAGCAAGGCAGCTCAGCCTGGGCTGGGCACAGCTTGCCTGCCAGACCCGTGCCTCTCAAGGACTTACTTTCAGGGCGAGGGCTGGCGAGGGAGGCCCGGGACCTGGGGGACAGCTCTGACTTGGGCAGGCAGAGGCCCCACAAACAGCAAGGCCAACGGGCAGCTTGGCCGCTGTGTGCTGCCTCCAGGCCAGCGGCTGTGGGTCCCGGATCTGCGTGGACAATCCAAGTCCAGAAAAGGGCTGCTGCTCGGCTGCGTGGGTCCAGAGGGGAAATGACTCACACCCAGGCTGGTTTGTGCAAATGTTTTTTTTTTTATTTCCACATTTATATCACAAGGTGTCCACTTACTGGACCAAATAGCAAAGTTGCTTCCTTCTGCATCCAGAGAACACAGAAGTCTAGTACTGTACATTCACTAAGGCTCCTTGTTTTTGCAAATCGCATTTATGACAGATAACCATAAGGCAAACGAATCTAAAGGAATGGTTCTGAGTGTTTCCAGCGCACAGACACGTCTCCCTCACCCAGGAGAACAGCTCACACACAGTAGCACCCGCGCTTACGTTGTGGTGGGGGGGGGGGGAGAAGGGGTTCTAGAAAGCTGAAATTTTCTAGAAGTGCAGGAAGAGAAGAGGGCAGAAAGAGGAAAGTTATCTGGCTGGTGGTCAGATGGAGGAGGGGATGAAAACAAACTTGAAAACTGAAACTTCTGCAGCATTTAGGAACCGGGTTTGAAGTGAAACCAGATAGAAACGAGTGGGTCTGCCCGTGGAGTCAGGGGTGAGGCTGGTGGCCGACTGGCCTGCCTACCCAATGCCCATGGCCAAGAAGCTTCCAGCAAATGACAGAAAGAAAACACTGGCTCAACAGTGGCTCGGTGGGGGTGAGAAAAAGAGGCTGAGGTGTGGCCCACTGTCGGCCTGGTGAGAACAGAAAATGCAGAGATGAGATGCGTGCGTCTGTCGTCTGTCGCTGTGTAAAGGTAACCTCTCCGGGGGCCTGTCTGCGCCTGCCTGCCCGCCCACCTGCCACGGAGGGCCCAGCGCTTGGGCGTGGAAGGGGCCTGCACCTTGCAGGGGGTGGGGGCGGGGGCGGGGCAGGGTGGGGTCTGACGCTTTTAGAGCTGGTTTGCTATAGAGTTCTGAACTCCCTTCCGCCGTCCGCCCTTCCTTCTGCAACGTCGTCCTTCCTTTGCAGTTTCGTTAGTAACCTGGTAGCAGCATTTCACAAGAGAAGGAGACTTGGAGGGAAGAGACAGTGCCTCCCCCTGGGCCCACCGCCCCGGGCTGCCGAGCGCGCTGCGGCCCCGGTTCCTGCCAGGCGGGAATGCACTTTGGGGCAGCTGCAGCGCCAGGTCAGTCCAAGCAGACATAAGGCAGAACGTTCAAGCGCCCGTCATCGCCGTGCGGGTCGAGCGATATGCACTGCGTCCAGTCATACCAGTTACCCTGTGTGTCCTGACACCCGTTCACCCCCGGCCACCGGCCAGCCTGGAGCCTGTCCAGATCGTCCCGCGCGATCTCCCGGGTGAGGCCTGGGAGGTGGCTGGGCGGCTCGAGTGGCAGCAGCACGTGCGGCTGCCGGGTCCCACGCCGGCTGCTCTCCTCCTGCCGCAGGTACTCGGCCATGAAGTGGTGCGCGCCGGGGGTCTGCGCGCCCGACGAGGACAGCAGGCTGCTCTGGCGGCTCAGGTACGACTGCACGATTTCGCTGCGAGACAGCTCCTTCCAGTTTGTCTGCTCGAAGGGGCTCTGCAGGCTGGCCTTGGCCTCCGACTTGTCCGGCTCTGTCCTGGCAGGTGGCTCAGCCTGCACGGGGCTGTCTACCCGCAACGGCTCTTTCTGGGTCAGAGGTTTGATCTGTCTCGTCATGGGGTCAAAGGTGAGCTTCCGCTCTTTTAACCGCACAGGCTTCACGCCTGCCTCGGCCTCCTGCCCGTCCAGGTTCACCGTGTAGTCCCGAGGCCGGTACCTCTTTTTCTTCTTGCTGTCTGAGCCCCCCGAGGAGGCAGCGTCGCTGTCCGCCTTGGAGGAGTCCGGAGAGAGGCCAGCCCGGGCGAGGAGGGGCTCGGCGGGGAGCGGCCCGGCCTTGCAGCCCGGCCCCGCCAGCCGGGGGTGGCCCTCGGGCTGCTCCGGCCAGCGCCCCGGGCTCTCGGCGCTGGGCAGCAGCTCCAGCCGCCGCACGGGGGGCGTGGACGGCTGGGCCGGCGGCAGGGGTGACGGCACCTGCGGGGTGTCGAGGGGCTGATGCCGCGAGGAAGGGCTGGGCACTGAGCCCTTGGGGGCGCACGGGCTCCGCTGCCGGGCAAAGGAGCCCTCATGCCGTGAGTTCCGGGGGCTGAAGGAGCAGCGAGGGGGCCCCCGAGGGTGCGGGGGCCCCGGGGTCTCCTCCACCCTGTCCAGCTGCTGCAGCACCGAAGCCTTCGTTTGCGGGCAGGGCCCAAGGGGCTGGCCCGGGCCGGGGGAGGTGGGGTGCGGCCGCACCGCGTTGATGGGGATCTTGCCGCCGTGCTTGTCATTCTCGCTGGGCTCCAGGCGACCGCTACTGTCCCGGGGGCTGGGCAGGCTCTCGGGGCTCCCGCTGAGGCCATTGGTGGGGAGGGGGGATGAGTTGGGGACCTGGGACTCATGGCCAGCTTTGGCCACCTTGGGCGGCGGCCCGGGGTGGCCCAGGTTGCGCTGGTCCCCCCGGCGCTTGCGGCCGCCCAGCCTGTCCAGCCGCTGCCCGGGCAGCCTCTGGATGTCATTCCGCGTCTTCAGGTCCAGGATGCTCTTGGGCGCGCCGGCAGTGCCTGCCTCGGGCCGGCAGTTGTGCGCGCCGCCGTTGGCTGAGCCGGGCAGCCCCGGCAGCCCCCGCAGCGCCGCCTCATTCTGGTGCGCGTGCGCGGGCTCGATGAGCTTCTGCCAGCTCCGCAGCAGCCGCTTGGCGCGCTTGGCGAGCTCCTCGTTCTGGGTCTTCTTGCGGACGTCGTTGATGAGCTTCCCCAACCGCGTCTCCTGCAACCAGAGCGGGTGGCCCGCTTACCGCCGTGCCACGCCATGCCATGCCACGCGGGGTGACTGCCCAGATACATGACCCACACTCACCCCCCATCTAAAGCCCTTGGCACCACAAGCTTGGCACAGCAGGGCCGCTGCCAGGGCCGCTCTGTGCATGAGAAAAAACCCGTTAGAAAAGCGACAGAGGACCAGAGCCGAGGCATGAGGCCTCCCCATGTCCCACGTGGACCCCAGCCCTTGGCTCCCTGGGAAGCAGGGGGATGCAGGTAGGTGACCCACCTCTAGTGCCTCTTTGGTAATGGGGTATCTCTCCAGGCTGGAGATGACTTCCAACACCGCCACCATGTTCCGGATCTGTAAAGCAAGAGCCACAGTTAGCTGCCACCCTCAACCCACAAGGCTGGGGACCCCAGGGCGTGCCCACACTGCCCCCTCCCCACCCCCAGGGCCTTTCTGCTCCCGGGCCCACCCCTCAGGGCCAGCTGACAGACCAGCGGGGCAGCTGATGGCTGCCTTGTGGGAGCGTGAATGCAGGAATGGAAAGACACACCAACTATGCTTCACGGGAAAGAACGACGCGGCGCGGTCAACCAGCCCACCTGGTCTCAACCACATCTTTCCAGAGCTCATCTGGAGACAGCCACAGACACCCAGGGGGCAAAAAAGTCACAAGCTGCAAGACAGGCAGCCAGGTGCCCGGGCCAGCGGCTCCACAGGGCACCTCGGAGCAGGCTGAGCCGGCAGCATCTGCGCAGGCGCCGCGCCCCGTGCGGCAGGGCCGGGGGGAGGACGGCCTGAGCTCGCCTCTGACTGCGTGGCCCTGTGGGCTCCGTGATCAAGACCCGCCGG